TACTAATAAACAATACCACACTTTACCGGTGTAGTGGGACGATCGTGAGCTTTCAACAGTAAATGCATAACCTAGCCAAAGACACGTCCCCACCTTGCTATGCACACTCAGAGAGAACAAACGCGATCCTTTCCGGTAACAGGTGCTCATTCTTGCGTTACAATTTCACGGAATGATCAGCGGACCGCATAAACACTAAGCATGTATCGCGGTCGTTCACTTCCAAACTTGCAACCTCAAATGCAATCAATCGATCTATAGAGAGCCTATTTCAACCAGTGTCATCATCATCATCATCATCATCATCATCATCATCATCACCATCATCATCATCATCATCATTATCATCATCATCATCGTCATCATCATCAGTGTCGTCATCATCATCAACATCGTCATCATTATCATCATCATCATCATCAGCCATCATCCGAATCATCAACCGAATAATCATCATCATCATTATCATCAGCATCATCCGAATCATCATCATCATCATCATCGTCATCCCATCATCATCATCATCATCGTCGTCATCATCTTCAACTTGAGCATCATCATCATCATCATTTACTATTATCTGTATTGTTTGCTAGATCCAAGGAGAACAATGAACGGGGTAATGCGTGTGGATATCATCCGCTTAGACTAGCAGGACACGTTGCTCGTGTGGATTTTATCGATCTCCTACTTTGGGATACAGTGTTCATTTTCATATGTTCATTCATTCGTGTGGATAGTATTTCCTGCGGGAATTGTGTCATCCTGATATCTGGTTTTGAGTCTCAACCGATTGTTTATTGTTGTATGTATTAGGGATCGATCCAATCAGCCAGAATGAGTATTTTTATTGCATGGAAAATTGCGTTGATTCACTCCGGAATGGAAAAATCTCATCAACTGCTCTCTGCCAGCATGAAATAAAGTGATTTGGCCCGAGTTCATGTGTCCTGGGGGCGAGCTGTAACTGAAAATGGTCGCACACGTTCCACAATGCACTTTCGAATGACACTAATGGTCTTTTAGCAGAAATAAATACAGTGTCGCACAATTACTTACACTTCCTATTGTGTATACTGACAGGGAGAACAGTTTTGTCCAAATGTTCGTCGAGCTCTAGTTGTTGTTGTTGCAGATGCTGACGAATCGGACAATGGGGAGAAAACAAACAGAACAGCTGCGGACCAAATTAGCACTGGCCAGTATCGGTTAGTAACTATGCCGGAGGGGTGCTACTTATCAGATTGGGATGAGTTTTCCGAGTCAGACACAGACAGATGACAGTGCTCAGCAAGATGGTTTTTATTAGATGCGCCCACTGAATGGAGATACAAAATGGAATCCCCGCGGAGAAAATCAGTTCACAGAAACTTATTTTCCAAATGCTTCGACGAAATGAACATCACATGTAGAGAAGATAGATAGATAGACAGACAGACAGACAGACAGACAGACAGACAGACAGAAACGGATAGATAGATAGATAGATAGATAGATAGATAGATAGATAGATAGATAGTGAGAGGGACCTGTGCATCATCATCCAGTTAATCTTAGCCTGCTCACTCAACTGCGCCAATGTATCGGAAGCACCTGCAACGAATGTCGGTTTGCTTAGTATCTATGGCCGGTTAGAGTCAGCGCTTTCCCCCGTCTGCTATCAGCATGCATTCGACCACTCACAGAGTACGTCATCCAGGTATGGAATCCATGGCTACAACGTGATTGCAAAATGTTGGAGNACAAAGGACGGCCACCAAAATGTTCGGGGGTTGAGTCGTTATTCATACGCAAAGAGATTTAAGTCGCTGGGGTTATATTCCAATCAATACTGTTGCATCGGAAGAGACATGATCACGATATAGCAAATAATACAAAACCCAAGCCATCCGTGTCGCCCGCTGCTGAAATTATCACCCAAAGTTCATCCTAGAGGACATCCGTGCAAACTGGAGGTTTCAAAATACCGATTGGAATGTCGGCGTCAGTCGGCAGTCAGAGTGTTTTTGATCTGGAACTCCCTCTCACCCCACGTGGTCTGTGAGCCAAAAGTTGAATTTGATGAAACATTTGCACACTTTTCACTCTAATATGAGTGAAGCTGCGTGCAGCAGTGGAAGAATCCGGTATCACGTGACATTTTGATTGAAGAAACTACGTATAACTGTCTTTTAACCACAACACGAACCTATGGAACGAGAGAATTCAATCTCTTAGTTTGAAAAACAATTCAATTTCTGAAATACTGTTGTATCCCATCAATCGATGATAAATTGTATGGTTTTCCTGATCTGGCGGTCAACTCACCCTTGGCGGTCAAATCAAATGAATTCCAACTTGTTGTGTTTCTACGGTGCGTCATTGGAGAGCCGCATGATCGTGTCGGCGGTGGTATACTCGGAAAAAAGGGGGGTTGATTTCATTTGTTGCACTATATTTATTCGCAACTGACGGATTAGTGTAAAAACGTGATCACTTTACCGCATAAATCAATGCTCAATCGATTATCAGGAACAGACTAGTGCAATGCAACGACTAATAGTAATAACAACACGCTTGAAACAAATTTTGATCGAAATGATCTGAATTGCACACTCCGACCGAAACCATAATTCCGACCTCAGGAGCACAACAGAAGGACGTTCCGGGTTTCTTTGATTTTACCAGTAGCATTCGTTGAGCTTCAGCATCCACGTGGTCTGTTTCCCGATCTCTTCTTTCGGCTTACGTTAAAAAGCACGGTGCTAACGAAGGAAGAATTTCGTATTACAGTTACCCTGGTGTCCGATCGTTAAACTCTCCTGAGTTAACACGATACATTAAAAATGGTGATATTGTTCCACGAAGAAAAAATACCTGTGGTTGTTACGAAACCATTACATCGTCAGTTGGCCCCTCCGGATAATGGCAGTCGGAGTGCTTGCAATAAGGCTTAAATTTTATTCATGCTTGATTGTGCAGTGAGCTATCTAAGCGATCATAGTCTGTCAAAAACAATCAAAAATGTGCTCTAAATAGTATTGGGCAATGTTGATCCTCGACGATATTGATCACGCTGTGTGTAACAAGAAGGGGTTTTACCACTACAAAGGTAGTCGTCGACCAACTGGTGCACGCTATGTAGCATATCAGTTTATCCAAGCACCGAGTGTCTCTTGGTCAACCCAACCGTCCTGAAGTATCTGAATAGGTGGAAACTGTTTCCGACGAAACCCCGAAGGGGATGGATAATGAGAGCTCACAGTTGCACATGCCTCATCTATTATTTCTTTTTCCTTTAAATACTTTACTACGGCTGGCTCCTTGGAAAGGATAAGCCGCTCCCGGATTGCCTCTGATTACCGCCGTAGAAGACATGATCTCATGAAGATACTTGGGAGTTTGGCACGAGTAACTTTCCCAGCGTCACTCGGCATTTTGTTTCATTTTAAGGGCTCACCT